AGTTTAAGAGGTCAAAACTAGAGAACCAGCCAACCATCTACAAGGTTACCCTAGTTCTGATTACTCATTTTGATTACTGATGTAGGGGGAGCCAGAGGAGGCTTTCCACGATGTTGCCACTTGTGCAAATGGATAAAGATGCTGGACAAGGCCATGCACAGAAGATGAGGAAATTCTTTGAAAAAGAATGACACATATTGAGCTTGGTGTGAAACTTGCCAAAAGGGAAGAGAAACACTCAAGAACAAATGGGATAGTACAACTGAAGAAAGATGATGGCAACCTAGTGAGATACAAAGCAGATACAAAGCTCGATTGGTCGTCAAAGGCTTTACTCAAAAGAAAGGTATTGACTTTGATGAGATTTTTTCACCAATTGTGAAAATGAGTTCTATTCGTTGTGCTAGGTCTAGTAGCCCGTTTGAATCTTGAGTTGGAGCAGCTTGATGTAAAGACCGCATTCTTACATAGGAATCTAGAGGAAGAAATCTATATGGAACAACCAGAAGGTTTCAAGGTCAAGGGAAAAGAGGACATGGTTTGTCGCTTTAAGAAGAGCTTGTATGGATTCGACAATGGTATAAAAAGTTTGATTCTTTCATGGTGAATCAAGGATACAAAAGAACAGATGCAGATCCTTGTGTGTATGTCCAGAAATTCCCTGATGGTAAATTTATCATCCTTCTCTTATATGTTAATGATATGCTAATCGTTGGACCAGATGCACACATATGTTGATGATATGCTAATCGTTGGACCAGATGCACACATGATTAGTAGGTTAAAGAGTGAATTGTCAAAAGCATTTCAATTGAAGAATTTGGGATCGGCAAGGTGAATTCTCGGAATGGAGATTATCCGAGACAGAAAGTCCTGCATGTTATGGTTATCGCAGGAAAAATATATTAAACGAGTCTAGAGAGGTTCAATATAAAGAATGCTAAACCAGTTAGCACTCCGCTTGCCCCTCACTTCAAGTTGAGTAAGAAATCCTACCCATCAATAGAGAAAACCCATCCAATCAGAGAAAGAATACCCATCAACAGAGAAAGAAAAAGGAGATATGTCAAATGTTCCATATTCTTCAGTTGTCGGAAGTTTGATGTATGCAATGGTGTGTACGAGACCAGATATCGCTCATGCAGATGGCGTTGTGAGCTGATTTTTGTCAAATCCCTAGATACCTAAGAGGAACTTCAAAGTTATGTTTAACTTTTAGAGGTGAAAAGCTTGCACTTGTTGGTTACACAGGTGCAGATATGGCCGGTGATCTTGATGAAAGAAAATCTACATCAGGATACCTATTTACATTCTCAGGGGGAGCTATTTCGTGGCAATCAAGATTACAAAAATGTGTTTCGTTATCAACGACTGAAGCAGAGTTGTTGCAGCAACGGAAGCAGGAAAGGAAATGCTTTGGTTAAAGCGATTCTTTCAAGAATTGGGTGTGCTGCAGGAAGAATATATAGTTTATTGTGATAGTCAAAGTGCGTTAGACTTGAGCGAAAATACTATATATCATGCACGAACGAAACACATTGATGTAAGATATTAGACTTGAGCGAAAATACTATATATCATGCACGAACGAAACACATTGATGTAAGATATCATTGTCTTAGACTTGCCATTGAAGAGAAGCAGTTCCAGTAGCAAAAAATCCACATAGACAGAAATGCTGCAGATATATTTACAAAGGTCGTTCCGAAAGAGAAGTTTGAACTGTGTGTCAAAGCGGCAGGAATGGAGAGTCCACTATGTAGTCGGGAGGGGAGAATTATTGTGCGGTCCCTCCGACATGTGGACCCACACACATTTGAAAAAGAAAAAAAAACAACAAACACGTTTTTTGTTGGTCAAAGAAAAAAGGAGATTCAAATGTGTGGGACCCACACACGTTTGAATGAAGAAAAAATTAGGGAGGATGGACGCCTTAATTAACGTGTCAGTCTGTGGACGCGTTAATTACGCGTCCCCTTCTCCTATAAATAGGAGAAGATTTCGACAACCAAAACATGTATAAAAACAAAAAGAATAGAAATACATAAAGTGTATAGAATTTTAGGAAAGGGTTCCTAAAATTGGGAAAGAGAGAAAATAGTGAGGATTATAATGAGAGAAATAGTGAGGATTATTAATTTGGGTGGTTTGGGGAAAACACTTTATGTACCATTATTTTTGTAATCTCTTGTACCTACTATTTTTAGTTGGCAAGAATTATTTCAAAAGTTTTGTCTTGTGGACATAGCCCATAACAGTTTGAAGGGTAAAACCACGTTAAATCTCGGTATTCCTTTATTTTTCATCTTAGCATTTACGATAATTATTTTTAATTTTTACCGTGGTTTATTATTTCTAGTGGATTCGATCATCAACATCCAATTTACCTAATTATTTTTGGGGTGTTTTTGGAAAACACTTAGAGTACCATTATTTTTGTAATCTCTTTTGTACCTACTATTTTTAGTGGAAGAATTATTCAAAGTTTTTGTCTTGTGGACATAGCCCATAACAGTTGAAGGGTAAACCACGTAAATCTCGGTGTCCTTATTTTTCATCTAGCATTTACGATAATTATTTAATTTTTACCGTGGTTATTATTTCTAGTGGATTCGATCATCAACATCCAATACCTAATTATTGGAGGTATATGTGGTAATAATAATTTTATTTTACTTTTACCACCGATTTTTTCGCGGGCTCCACTCGAAATCAGTTATAATCCCAACACCCATTCTGTGTCAAACATGGTGGACTAGTTAGCTTCACCACCCAGTTATATTTGTAATCTTCTTAAACTTTATAGCCAATTAAATTTCCAGCCATCTTTCTTTTAAAAATTTTTGCGCCTAAACTTTTTAATTTTTTTTATTTTATTGTTTGAATGGAAAAATGCTATCAATTGAGTGTATGAATTTTTTAAAATTTGCATTTTAGTATCTGAATCGCATTTGGTTCAATGGAAACATGAGTGTGTAATTATGGAACCAATTTTGTCATATGTGGTAGACGATGTGGCATAAAAAGCTCCAAATCAACTAGCCATATAGAGTCCACGTGAACGTGCTCTTAAATTTTCTAATTTACCCTTTAAAACACCTCCCATTGACTATGCTCACATGTTCATTTTGCGAGGACACTTAAACATGAGAAGAAGAAAATGAACTCATCGTCAACCTGCAGATCTTGATTGAGAACAAATATATATTTTTAGATTTTGATTCAACTCTCAAAGTGGATTATTTATTTTTATTCTAAAATATTAATTTTCAAACTCAAACTAAAATATTTGTATTTTAACAGTAGCTATATATTTTTCCAAAGTCATAACTTTTTAAAAAATTTCATAAAACTCTCCATTGCCATAGTTTCTAAGCAAATTAAAACCCAATTTTGAAAAAAAAAATAAAAATTGAAATTCAAAAATAAGGTAAAATAAAATCCCATGAAACTGAATAGAAAAATCAGAAAAAAAAATAGAGAACCAAACAATTAAAAAAATAAAAATTATAGAAAAAGAAAATGTAAAAGAAAAAGAAAATAAAACAAAATGCAACATCCCATGAAACTGAGAAGAGAGAGAAAAAAATCGGAAAAAAAAAACAAAAATGGAAAAAATAGTGAAAGAAAAAATCAGAAAAAAAAATTATAGAAAAAAAAAAAAGAAAATAAAGAAAAGAAAGAGAAAAATAATTCCAGAAGACTAGTTGAAAATTTTCACACAACGAGCCACAAAAAGTAGAATGAATGGACACTTATTTACGAATGGAAACTAGCAACAATAATATTTTTCTAAAATGATGCGAGATCTGAATATGAAAAGCCAAGCCCAAAGTATTATTAGCCAATCAATGCTTCTGAAAAGCATACCTACCATGCAGCAAAAATCTGAGATATTGTGAACTGTCTATTAGATAACTCACTCTTGCAAGGGATTGAGATAAAAAAATGATTATTTGGTTAGATAGAAAGGGAGAGGGAAGAATCAGATAGGGAGAGAAGATTTAGAGTTATTGAGAAGGAAAAGGAGAGTCGAAAATGTCTGTAGCATTAAGCGAGGATATGTGAGAGTTCACATGGAATCCATGTGTGTGATGAGTTGGAAAAAAAGAGCATGTTGGCGCCAATACATTAAACTACAAATGACAGCTGTGATTCCGGCAATGCAGCTCAGATGGAGTGTAAATTTTAAAAAATTTAAACACCTAATTATAAATTTTAAAAAGTTTATATACCTAATCGATAATATTTGCCGTTCAAACATTAAAATAGAAAAAAATTGAAAATTCAGATACTAAAAATATCATTATCCCAAACAAATAATAATAATAATAATAAAATAAACCTTGGAACTCTTACTCCTAAATCAGCTAATTCATCTGAAGCCATAACCCTTTCCCCTAAATCATCAGCCAGAATCCAACTCCTCATCGACTGTCTTCTTCATCGGTTGACCTATTTAACCCATCCATAGGAGCATTCGGTCATCCTATACACTTTGGTTACTGTTATCCAGAACAATGTTCCACTCTGGAAAAACTCGACAAAAAGGTATAGCCTGTGTGTTGCCTTTGCATAGCATACGAGCAGTGACCAGCCCGAGCATAGATTGAACAAAGAGTGTAATTTAGGGTTTGCGATGGCTTTAGGAGCAGCAGCTTTGTATGGATTGATTTTGTCGTTGAAGTTGATGTACAAGAAAGCAAAGCAAGAAATAAGCTAGACTCTCGTGATGAAGATTCGGATGATCATGTTTGTTTGCTACCTGTCTTTTGCAACATAGGAATGCTCGTTATCAATGATTTCAAGGTTGGTCCCTGTCCAATGAGGGCTTAGAATGTCTAGCATTAAGCCGACTGGGTTGGCGAGCTTTGCAAGAGCCTAAACCGCTGTAGGTTTGAGTTCTCAAAAGAGAAGATTTTCAAAGTTATAGCTGACTTTCTTGAGCCAAAGCAGCATGTTTATGACTGAAAATAACAAGGCATATAGATTTAAAGAGATGAAATCAGGGAACATCAAAGTCGCCAATTTATAATTAGAAACTACATGAAAATAAAGGATTACAATGATGAAGATTAACCAGAAGACAAACAAGTGAGATCTTGTTTACGATTGTTACCATGAATACCTACCGGTGCAATCTGGATAGACAAGAATTGGCTCTAATATTCATCTCTATTTTTATAGTAAGTAGAAATCTATGCTTTGACAAACAAAATTTTCTGGACTAAAATAGCCCATAAAAGACAACTTCCCTTCAATTACAATTGGTAGAAGCAAGATCCACAACTCAACATATTTCCTGATTGTAGCTTTGCACATCACGAGTATGTATGCTATTTCTGAGAAATCCTCATTCCCATCTTCACATGGCGTATTTCATAGGTTTCTACCAATCTTTGTTATAATGCGTTGTTGTGGAACCAGCAGGTCATTCCTTACTCCCTCTCTTACTTGATGCCTTCTTTTTTGCTTCCCTCAATGCTTTTCTCTTCTCCTCTCTACATCAATTTTTAAATTATTAGTTTCCAATTCATGTAAGAAATGATGTCCCTTGAGTGGACAGGAGGAAAAGGTGACAGAACAGCAATAATTCATCAACATTACTTATTCACATTTACACACACACACACACACACATTCCATGAGTACTATTCAAGGAGTATACCATGTAGATGCATGCAATTTTTCCAATGGATAGAAAGAAGATTGGTATAAAATTTGAGACTATATTTACCTGACTACTGAAATTTCCTGTCTTGATGGAAATTTTCTCTTCTTCCCCTTATTGGCAGGGGATTGGGATTCCACTTTTCCATTATCAGAAACACCATCATTCAAGCCCTTATCTTTTTTCATTGCACCTTTTTTCAAAGGCTCAGCAGTTTTCTTTTCATTATTGCTCTCATTTGGTTCAGGTGCTTGTTCCACCGATTCTAAAGGTTCAGGTTCAGATGGTGCAGTAGGTATTGAATTGCTCATTTTCTTCAACTGCACAAAGTTAAATAGAAATACCAGTCAAGACAGTCGACTAAAACTAAAGCCCCTTGCTTAGAACAAATTACCTTAACAAAATTTTATTTAATTCATTAACAATTCGGCAAAATTCCAAACTTTTTGAGCGGAGAAAACAACAAAAAATAATTGGAATTTTACATTTTCAACCTCAGTCATGGAATTTAAATATGCTCATGTAAAAATTTACAAAAATGGATAAAACTGGCAAAGGAATAGCACACCATTAACATCATATAACTAATAGGACGTTGACGTCCATCACAATGTAATTAAATAATTGAAAAGTAACTACCTAATGAATAATTAATTCAATTCCTTATTTGCTTCAAGTATGCAGTAGAATTATATTTCTATATACTAAAATAAATTGCAAATCGAATTCCTCATCCATTAGCTTTAAATCGAGTAATAAAGATTAAAAAATAAATGACTGTTAAACTACAAAATATCTGCCTGACAAGCTAGACCAAAAACTCTGATTGGAAATAGGAAGTAGAGGCAATAAAGACTGTCCTTGGCCTGTCAATTCTAATTAATTGCAACTCTCATCCTTTACATACCTCCACTTTGTCAAGGGGAATTACTGGTCATAAAACGCAAGGAACCCAGATTCTAAGCCTGCTCTGCTTTTAATCACATGCAATCAATCCTTGTTTGGCTACTTGCAACCAAGACCACTTTATCAATGTTTGGTCTTGTGTTCAGACTTCACATTACATAACAAAATGATCACAATCATGCATGTAAAAGCCCAATTTGCTGGTAATATGCAAATGTTATAGATCTTGAACAAAAACCATAGTTAATTATAACTATAGGTAAAATCTGTTTTGGGTTATAGGAACAATAGTATGCTTTGGACTCGCTACGGACTTGAAGCAGGATTACTCTATCATAACCTTGGCTTTGTGGTTTGATTTTTTGGGCTTGTACCAGAATGGTTACTGAAAAATTAACGCATGTGAAATTCCAAAGCATGTGTTGGTTAGCAACACAGGCAGTGCACTTTGACTAGAAACGTCAAACACAAATAATATAGTAGTTTTTTGTTTCAATAATGGCAGAAAATATTGTTCTTCATGAAAATGATAAATGTTATTTTGAAGATCCAAACCTTTGCCACAAAAAATCCATCCATGTTGTGAACATGTGGGTAGAAACGTCTCGTCTTTTCCAAGGATGGGTGGAAACGGTGTTCCCTAAAGCGGATAAACCTAATAACAAAGGAAGCACTATAATTATATTATATTGGAAACGTTAATCTGCAAAAGCGCATGAGTGAAGACACAGCATTACCCTGGACGCCCGAAGTCAAGTCCACATGGCACAAGTTTAACATCCCGTTTTTTAAGAGCATAGTCAATGACTGCCTCATTCTGCAAAATCAAAAATGTCAGAATAATAAAAGGATTGAGAAAGGCAATAAATGGAAATCCATGACGACATCCTTAAAAACAAACCTCAGCAACCATAATGGAACATGTGGAGTAAACAATGTATCCCCCAGACTTTGAGTTTGCATCAACCATGTCAATAGCGCCAAGAATCAATTGCTAGTGACAAAGGACATTAAGTGTTTGAGAAAAGGTTCACATGAAACGCAATGACACAATCAACAAAAGCAGACTATATACACACACACACACACACACACAGAGATATATATATATACACACAACTAATAGGATAACTGCAACAATTTCTCTATCGCAGTAAAGAATATCATATTGCCACATTTCTGGTGTAGCTAGGAGCCTTGGTCAACTTTCAGAAAAACAATAGTTAACTCGCTAGGAAGCCAGTACATGGACTTTAATTTAGTTTTGTGATAAATAAGGACTGCCAGTGAAGAAGCCTAATTATATTATGCCTCTACCCTGAAGTTCCAAAAGAACATACCTTCTGCAAATGAGCACATTTCTGTATATCTTCAAAGCTTTTAGAGGTTTTAACAGATTCATCTTTTGATATGACCTAGAACATTAATAAACACTTAAGTTCCATCCAGCAGCAAGCAATAAAAAGAAGCCAGTACTTATTGCTGAATCACTTGTTTAATGCTTACCCCAGTTCCACTACAAGGAGCATCCAACAACACCCTATCAACCCCATTGTGACCCAAAACCTTCGTAAGCTGCAATTATAAAATGCAAAAAACAAAAGAGAAGGCATCTGACAAATATGAGTGCTATAATAATTTTTGTTCAAGTATGTATAAAATGAAAAATTAGGTGAAAGGTAAATCTTTGTGCATTACAACAATATTAGGTTAGGCATTGCACTTTTTTTTTTTATCACCAACATCAATTCCTATTAACCAAAAGATTATACAGCTTTCAAGCATGAAGCCAGCAAACTAATAATAACTGAATTGCTACTATTAAGAAATCATGACAACCCCTGCAACAATCAAAGAGTGGCAGAAAGAGACTAACCTCCCTACCATCATAGTTGCATACAATGGTGTTTGTAACCCCCATACGATGTAAATTTGCTGTAAGAGACTTAAGTCTTGGTACCTTCATCTCGTTCGCATAAATTATTCCTGGTGACAATTGCATTACAACATTCAAATTGTGGAGGTGCAATATGATATTCTACAAAGATGGTAGGATCTTCTCATGCAAATGGTGATAATGTAACAAATATAACGTGTTCAAAATAATATGAATTTAAAACAAAACAAACTGAGTGTTCAAAATAATATGAATTCAAAACAAAATAAACTGAACACATCTTAATCTTAGACCACTTCGAAAACAATATTTTTGAAAGTATAGAACTTAAGACTTTATCTGAATATCACAGTTAGAAATAGAAAATTTGCAGGCATAAAAACAAAATAATCTCACTTAAAGAATCATCACCATTAAACCAGTAGATAGAAAAGATATAACTGAAATTGGATTTAGCATCTTAGAATTCAGCAACCCTATCTTCACATTAAGATAAAGGCGCAAGTGAATTGACAATAAAATAACATTGCATTTCAAAAATATCCGTATTTCCTATAAAAATTAAATTAACAACTGATGTCAAATATAACCATGTCACTGATAGGATACTTCGATAGTTTAATGATGACTACAAAAATAGGAAACCTTAATGGCTTGCACAGCTACATCATACATGCGATGCAAGCGGGATAATAAATATTCATTGGTCAAACCATATGTCAAAGCATTGATTATATATGCCAGTATTAGAAATGCAATATCAGAGGCAAGCAAATTGCAAATGATGAAGTGAAAAGAAAGTAAGATGGATGTAACACATGAGAGACGAATTTCGAAAGAAACATGGAAATCCAGCAGAATTATCACATACCGCTATTCTTCATTAGAGCAGCAATATAAGTTGTTTTACCACCAGGCGCAGCCCTGCAGCACAAAAAGTTTCTCAATAGATAAAACCAACTAATTCAGAATGCACGAAAATGCATTAGTTATGCCACAGTATCATAGAAATTGTAAGACAGAAAATTTGATAAAATAAGACTGGTTTGAGATCGGATACCAAAATATAGTTTATCTAAATAAAAAATAAAAAAAAATAAATAAAAAAAAACCACTTACGCCATATCAACAATCCGTTCCTTCTCTTGAGGAGCAAGGGCCATCACAGGCAAGAAAGAGCTTGCACTTTGCAGCTGTGAACAGACAACAGATGAAGACTACGACAAGAAAAAATGAAAAATATACATGGAAGTATGTGAAGGACTATGAAAGCTCATTTACCATGTAGAAGCCAGCCATATATTCTGGAGTTGCACCAATAGGCACTTGTGAATCATAAACAACTAGTCCAACCTACAGCAAAATTTTCAGGCTCATTGTTTTCTTTTCATGATAATATAGGACAAAACAAAGGTGAAAGAGCATCACCTTTGACCACTTGCTTAAAGGATCCAAGTTTACACCTCTATTTAAGAGGACATCAGCCAAATCCCGTCTCCGAGTCTAAGCACACCAAATATCATTATTATGCAAAACATAGAGCAGAAAATGAGAACAAAACAGAGGAATGAATGTAACACTCAGCCTTTACCTTTAAGGTGTTTGTTCGTAAGCATATAGGCCTTGGCTTTTCAAAAGCCTCAACAAGTTCTATGAGTTCGTTAACTGGAAACATCTGCAAAGTCATAATTTAAGTCATGGTAAAAAACTTTCAAATTCCACCAATATAGAATAATAGAAAACTAAACGCAATCCAAAAGGGGTAGTAAAAGGAGAAAGAAGAACAGATAAAAACCAATTAACCACCTCAATCAAAACTCCAATTAGGAAATCATTGTAACCATAGTATGAGGATAAATCCATCTTAAGTTGCTCGATGTAATCCTTTCTTCTAGCTCCTTCTTGCTTCAAAACTTTAAAATTTGACAGCACTCGAACGACTATTGAAAAAGAAATAGTCATGAAGAAAGACTAAATAAATACACTTCAAAAATTACAAATGCAATATATAGAAACTCAATGAAAATATTACTCTCTCTTATCCTCTGTTGGAGATTTGGAAGGTCAGGGGGCCTTTGTGCTTCATCTTCAAGTTCCTAAGTAATTAGTTTAACCAAAAGAATCTCAATAATGACAACATTCAAATAAAAGAGACAAATTTAATCAAAATTGAACACTTAGAAAAGCAAAAAATAAAAAATAAAAAATTACAGAAAAAAAAGAGAAAAATCTGTAAACCTCCTTGGTTGGCAATCTGAACTCATCAGACTCTTTTGTAATGTTAAGCCGTATTTCGTCATCTGCATCTTTCTGTTCTCTGTCCCTTTGCTCATCAAGAGCTTTCGACTTTTTCTCGATATCAGACTCATCTGAATCAGAATACTCACCAGAATCTGATCCTGAACCTTTCTCTGCAAAGCAAAACGTAAAATAACTAAAAACAACAACAAAAAAAAAAAAAATACAGTAAATAGTGATGAGCAGCCTACCTTCAAAGTCGCTTCCTTGTAGAAAATCATCGGCCAAAGGATCATCACCATCTGAAAGGATATCGGAACCAGAAGCAGACCCTTCAAAGTCTTCCTGTTCTTCTAGTTCTTCATCTGGACTATCAGAATCATCCAAAATCTCATCCTTCTTTCGCTTTTTTTCAGTGAAAAGAGCATTCTTTTGCTTTTTCCTTACAGGAGGTTTCTGAGATTTTGAGCCTTTTTTCTTGCTAAGTGCAGCAGGCGCCATTAAAGCTGTGCATCATTAAACAGGTTTTAGCTTGATTGATACAGAAAGAAATTGAACTAAACTTTATTATTTCCAAAACATGGGGGAAAAAAAATAGAAGAGAGAGAAATGTGTACCTGAAAGAGGCAACAATTGACGATATCCAACGACAGAGAGCGTCAAAGAGAGTGCTTTGTTTTCCCCTAGAGAGAAGTTCTTAAGCTCGATAGCTGCAGCTAGGGTTTTGCAGAGATTTATTAAATTCCTAAACGAGTTAAAACGACATTGTTTTGTTTCAACGTGCAACGTTTTGGTTCCTTCTGTCTAGGGTTGGCAACGAGTCGGGTTCCGGTTGGTCAGTGCAATGCACATGCCCACATATTATTAGTATCCCCCATTTCTAATCCCCATATACCTTACCACATATTATTAATATTATCTCATGAAAATTTTTTGGATAAAATGGTTAGTCTCTACGAATGAATTTTGGTGTTTGAAACTTTTTTACTTTTTTGGTAATAGTCACCGGCCAACTAAAGTTTATTTTTTTAAAATTTTTTATAGGGAATCAATTTTGTATCTATTTTATTGACAAATGTTGAACGGCAAAGATAAAGTGTTTAAATTAATATTTGCCACTTGTGTTTTTAGTCATAATTTTTGTAGATATTCTTGTTCAAAGATCATATACTTACACATACATCGATCTTTATATTTACTTTTTACAATATTTAAATTTCAATTTTTTTTATTCAGACTTTTGCATTTGGTGGGACAAAATATGCAAGATATTTTATTAAATTGTAAAAATTACTAGAACAAAAATCAAAATTTTGGATTTTTTTAATAAAATATATTAAGATTTTTATTAAAAATTTCAAATTAGTACAATACAAGGAGGACATGACTCCTCTCCTGAAGACGAGACATAGAACAAAATTGTTGTAACTAAAATAATTCTTTACCGATCTAATAAGAAATCCTAATGAAAATTGGAAGATAAATTTGAAAAAGTTAATAGATCTTTAAAGTGGCTAGCTAGACACATTCCCTAAATCTTCTATACATGGGCTAATTATCAATGAACTAGTTGCTTATGATGAACACAGAGGATTTGAACCACTAAATTCAATAGAGGCACATGCTAAATTACCAGGCTCCAAAAGACAAAGATCATATGTATTTAAAACGTTCTCCACATATTACACACTTGTCTAAATAAAATAAAAAATGCGAAAAACAAAATAAATACTCCACATTGAATGAAGAGATCATAAACTGCATACAAGATAGAGATAAACCATAAAAAATAACAGAAACATAAATAATATAACTCTATGCCAAATAGACATAGATATGTACTTTATTTAACAAAAAACATAAAAATTTACAACAAAACTAGAAATAAGAGGGAGGGGATATCATAAGACACAAGAATCGGTCATTCCCCATATTTACATGCTTGATTTTTGTGTTTGAATAGAGAAAAGGAAAGTGTGATCCCCTCCCCCGAAAATAGGCATATAATGAATATGACTAAGGGCAGAAATGCACGTGAATATGTGAGTCGCCACCTTGTTTAATTATTTTAGGGTAAACTTTGTGTTTGAATAGAGAAAAGGAAAGTTGGATCCCCCTCCCCCGAAAAATAGGCATATAATGAAATATGACTAAGGGGCAGAAATGCACGTGAATATGGTGAGTCGCCCACCTTGTTTAATTCATTTTAGGGTAAACTAGAAAAAAAAACCCTAAGTTGACTCCAATTTTAATTAACCTAATTACTCGATTAATTATCCCAATGTTTAAGCACAATCTTACGGAACTCGAGGGGATCCCGAGACCATGTCATGTTGATGAAACTAACCAATGAATGAATGCTTTGCAAGGTAAATGATATAATCGGACCAATGAAAAGTTTAAGTGGATTTCGACTGCTGCTCGGGGTTAAATCCCAAAAACGTGCCTACGTACTTCCGTTTTGAATGGAAGATCAAAGTCGACGTAGTCGATGGGGCCTTTAAAAAGGCTTTTGGAATGGGGTATTTGCTAATGCATGAGTGTGTGTATGCTTTGTGCATTTTGTTTAGCATTTTGCCAAAGAATTATGACTTGATTTGATTAGGGTTTGTCTGCCAAAAGTTGTTGATTTAAGGCTTTTAGCCAAAAGATTGATTTAGGGCAATTGTTGCCAAAATTGTTGATTGGCCCGCATTGTCCCGCCAAAAATTATTATTTGAAGGCTTTTAGCCTAAATGGGCTTGATTTAGGCAATTTGTTTGCCAACAAAGTGTTGATTGGGCAGATTGTCGGCCAAAATTGATTGATTAAGGCTTTTTTAATTGCTAAAAAAATTATATATTGGGCTTTTTGTTGCCAAAAATTGGGTTGATTTAATTCAAGGCATTTTTGCCAAGCTTCGCTTTAAGCCAATTTATCAGCGAAAAATGGTTACTCTTACTTTTAGGCAATTTGTTTGCCAAAAGTGATTCAATTGAATTGCAATATAGGGCAATTTATTCCAAAAGGAAAACTGGGTGATTTAAGGCTATTTAGCCACAATTATTGATTAATTGGACTTAAAGCCGGACTGTTCGGAAATAAAGACGATCTTATACCCGTTAGTCACTTAATTGACCAGATACTTTAGCCAATAATTGTCGGATTAGGCTATAACACCACGACTTATTAATTAACCGGGCAAATTTAAGCTAAATCAATATTAATTGAGGCAGTGTTTAATTTGCCTAATGGATGACGTGAATTGCATTTTATTCAGCCAGTTCTAATTTCAGAAATTTGGAGTAGAGAGGAATATGCACAAAAAATACTGAAATTAAAATTAGACAGGGGTTTTGTTATTACCTGAGTTAATCGGCGGCCGCTTCTTAGCTTCAGCTTTGAAAATTCCAGATTAAGCTTCCTCGTTGGGGAATATTAATTAGAATTAATTAATTAAGTGACCAAGGTATCACAACAGCAGAATAAAAAGCCTACACTAAATGCAGGAAAAAAGCAAGTAAAGTTAAAAAAACCCACAAGGAGCGTAGGGGAGGAAGAGGAGCGTCCATCAACCATCAGATGAGGTGAGTAAAAAGTTCGCATCGGGGCTGTGTATTATTAGGGGAAAATCTGGGCTTAGCAGAGGGCGGCCGCTCCCGCGCAGAGTGGCGGCCACTGGCCACCGCCGCCGTCGGCCGGCGGACTTGCTTAGTCTTTCGCTTTCAAAAACAAAAGGCTTTTCTTGGAGTTCCGTAACCTCCAAAAAATATTTCCGGGACCAGTTCTGCATCCTCGTGATTTTCCGGACGTTTCAAGTACCATATGGCATACTTTCGGTGAACTTTTCGAATGGCCTCCGGTTCCGGCCGGATGTTTACAAGGTCCGTGAAAAACATGCTTTTTTGAGGCCTCAAAATTTGAGTATTCACAGTTGCCTCCCACCCGGCAACCATTAAAAAGATTTATGGGCGTCGGTGTTGTCTGAAAAAATAAAAATTTTGAAGGCGAAAAAAATCGGACGCGCTAGACTACCTGCCTTTTGGCTATTTTTTCCTGATTTTTTCTTTTCTTCGATTTTTTTTGTGGGGCCTTAGGGGCCCAAAATGTTGAACTTTTGGGGCCTTTGTGGCCAAATTGGGCATTTTTGGGCCTTTGGGCCAAATTGAGAATTTTTGTGCCTTAGGGGCCAAAATGTGAACTCTAGGCCTTTGTGGCCAAATTGGGCATTTTTGGCCTTTGGGCGCTAAATGGTGAACTTTTTTTTCTATGTTTTTGCAACTTAGTGTTTTATTAGCATTGCACAAGTGGACTAAGAGTCTCTCCAAGGTAGAAAAGATCAATTTGGGGGAGCGTACGGTGTATCTCCTATTGCACCCTTTAGGGGAGTAGTTATAGACTGAGATTTTTTACGGGCCTGCATCAGACTTTGGGACCCGGAGGCCCACGTTTTTCGGGTTCGGGGCCCATGATGGAGGGAGTGTGCCCTCTTTTTGAGGAATTCTGCGCTATTATAGGGTGCGATCCCAATTGCCCCTTCAGTCAAGCATGAGGTCAAAAATTGGTTATGTTCGGTCGCTTTAAAACCTGTTTCATTCAGCCGGCCACAAGCTAGGGCCATGAATTGTTTGGTGACCAGGAAAGCAATTCTGCTTGCCCTGATTGACGAATCTTTCAGAGGTTCAATAACAGCCGACCCCAGCCGCTGTGAGGCTGAGAATGCGGGCCTTGGTTTTCTGCTTATTTAGCTGGTTTCTTGTGTCAACAAGGACCCAGGCTTTGGGAATTTGCGGAACTCTGCCCCCATTGATTGCGACAAATGGAGTGATATGGGTTGCATCCGGCGGCATTGGTGCTTGGCAAGAGACTATCAAGAGCCTTGACAGAGCTGCTTAGGCTTCGATGACTGGACCGGTCTCTACGATTATTCTCCAGGTAATTTTCCCCTTTCCTCTTCCTTTTTTCTTCTTTCTTTTGGTCGTTCCTTGTAATAGAAAGGATCCATTTACTCAAGTTTGGTTAAGGATCACCTCCAAAGTGGTTGCTGCCTCCTACTTTCTTTTGGCCTACAGGGCTCCTCTCAGTCTATAGTATGCGGAGGATCCTGATCCAACTCATCCGTCTACTGATGCATGACCTTCATGGCTGATCTGAGCTGGGTCCAAAAGGTACTGTGGTTAACATTTACCTAGTTATGACATCACCCGCTTCATCCTAGGTTAGCTCTCTGCCACACCCCCAAAAAAAGTTTTTAAAACCCCTACTAGGCCTTACACAATTGCACGTGTACTGCGCTTCGCCGCGTTTTGAAGGCAGATTGGGGAGAGGGACCAGAACCTGGTTCCGGATTGTGATAGCATTCAGCTGATTCAGCCATCACTTCGGGTTTTACCCGAGCCGATCCCTTAGGGCTTGGGTTAGAGGCCATCACATGGTTAGGCTTTACTAATCTTGCTTGGTGTCTTCAGACTTTCTCCTAAGTATCGGACCTAGGTCATTGCCATTGTCTGGCGTTGAAAGGCGAAAGGGGAAACGCACTGTGAGTGTAACTTGAAGGTTGTGGCCAGGCTGACGCTGATAATTGAGATTGGGACTGATAGAGGAGATTTGGTTGGCTTCCTCGACAGGCGAGGTTTGCGGAGGAGTTCAACGGCAGGGATTGACTCAGAGGATGTTGCCCCACGGAGGCGCACGGGACACCTAGACTCTTATAGGCTTTTGGACTTTGTTTTTTTTTCCCTTATTTGACTTTTTTGACTTTTTATTTGAACTTTGACCCT